GCAAGTTTGCCCCGGCCGAGCACCCTCCGCTTCTAAAAACAAGCAGGCTTCCACTTATGGCCTTTTGCTTCAGCCTTGAATACCCAAACCCCTGTGTCAATTTCGGTCACTTTGAAGAAGAACGCCTCTCTTGAAGACTCTTGCCAAAACCCCGTCAGACTCAAGCGTTCTGACATGCTCCTTGAGGAATTTAGCTGTTCGGAATGCTTCATGCAACTATGTGTTCACTATCTGAGCAGTGACAGCCAAGAATCCATCAGGACTCTCATCAAAGCAGTACCAGTAAATGAAGATACCGACGGTTGCCACGCCCACCTAGGATGCCAATGGACAACTCAGCACAAGGCACATTGCTAGACGAGCGCGGCCCCTGGTGCCATCGAGTCACATAAAGCCCAATGACCATATAGCGAAAGAACACCTGCACACAAGCTGGGCTCCAGACTCCAAACCAGGGCTAAGGAGAGTTAAGGTTGAAACGTGCGACTTGCGTAGTATCTCACGTTCACCTTCTTGACTTCCGCGGCCATTGACCGACTCTTATCATAAGCAGCCAAGAGGCCCAACCAGAGATGAGGTTGTCATCATTTCGCCTGCAACCGCAGGCAAAAGGCAGAGGAAGAAATACATAGACTAGAAGTCCAAAGAGTGCAAGATAAAAAGGACGGCCTCCAACCTACCAGCGATGGCCTCCACCCTACTAGCGATGGCCTCCAACCTTCTAGCGATGGCCTCCAACCTACTAGCGATGGCCTCCACCCTAATAGCAATGACCTCCTTTTTTTTGAAGTCTAAACAGTGCAAGAGAAAGACGGGAGCACACAATGCATCTACCACTACATGTCAAGTGCTCATGCCTCAGGTGTCAAGTTCAAGTACTCAATAACACAACGAAGACTAAACTGATGGCACAATACATAAGATATTCGAATCTAGTGGTTTGTGCAAACAACTTTCTCGAAAAATATCTACAAAACAACATCCAATCATCATTGCTCATCCAATCAAAGACTCCCCGTTGCCTTGGTGCTTTGGACATCACGTCCAAGTCAGGAGGGTTGAAGCTCAGGGCGGTTGCTGGCAAACCATCAGTGACCAGATTGACCTCAACTGAAAATGGAAAATGCAAGGTGCCATTTAGGTTGGAGGCCATCGCTAGTAGGTGCGACAAGGAGATGTAGTATGATGGAAACGAAGAAATATGCAAGCTTTAAACTTTCGCGCCATGCATGCCATGCATCAACCTTATTGAATTACTGCAATCTCATTAGCTTTGACATCCCGTGTCTCGGAGCTTTGCACCAAAAGGCCCAAAGCAGCTGCACAGGTGCTAAACCCTCTGGAATTCCCAAGGCGGCCGTGAAAAAGATCGATGCCACCTCACCTCTAGACAAGCTAACAAGCTTTGCCAACAGCAGTCTCTTTTGGTTTGCTTGCTAAGCTCTCTTTTTGAACCCCCGACATATTTGAGTGTCAAACCGATGTTCGATGAGATGAGATATCGAATGAAAGCCTGCCAAAGTCATGAGTCAACAACCGGTCAACGTATGATGCATGCGCAAATGACATGCCGCGAAGCACTGTTGCTCGCCTTCATGTTGTTGTAAATGGACCGCCCCTCCTCCACAGCAGACACGATCGTTGCGAAGTGATCATCCGCGAGGACCTCAAACCACTGACCCTTCCTTTTCCGGATTTGCGCTCTGCGTGCAGGCTGCTTACTAGCGATGGGCCAACCTAGAAGCGTGAACCTACTAGCGGTGGCCTGCAAGAACGTCAAGAATCACGAATTGAATGTGTGGAACAAGAAGCTACTAGGAGCAAAGGGCATCGCTACTAGGAGCAAGAACGCTACTAGGGGCTCCTGGCCGTACTCCTAGGAGCAAGGACGCATGGCATGGCGCATAATAGTCTTAGCTCTGAGGGCCGCACCATGTCAGAGGCCTCCTTTGCGACCTCACCGGAAACTACGCCCCGCCGCCCCGATCTCGGAATGAAAACACAATGTTGATAATGAGCAACGTTCCTTTCAGGGTCTCTTTCTGGAGTTCGAATTCTCAGAAAACGGAAGAATGCAAGAAAATGCCCTAGTCAAGCTGGCTTGCTGCAGAGTTGCCTCAGTTCCAGTAAGACCCATCCTTGGTCCGGAGTCTCAGCAACGCAATTTTTCAAGAAAACAACAGAAAGTCCCTACTAGTAACAAGTGCATTACTACTAGTAGCAAGAAGCTACTAGTAACCATCGCAGTGCTACTAGGAACAAGGGCATCACTACTAGTAGCAAGAAGCCGTCATGGACAGATGCGGCAAATGTGTCTTGGGCTAAGTCGAGCCTCGCTATACCGATGTCGGCCTGCTTGAGGGCTGGGGCATCATTGACCCCATCTCCAGTCATGGCTGTGATTTCACCAATCTGCTTCAGAATCCTTGATTCTTTGGAGCACATCGCTAGTAATTAGGTTGGAGGCCATCGCTAGTAGCCGCTAGTGGGTTGGAGGCGATGCTTCAACTTTTGCTACTGTCAAAGCACTACTCGCATGGAAGAAAGCCCAAAGGCCGGCTGCTACCAAGATGCTTCACAATCCTTGGAGACATCACGGAATTCATTAGCTCGTTCTACTAAGAGCACTTTCTGTCCCACCACCTGCTACATTTTGCTAAGACATGTTCTTATGAACACCACAACTGACACGTGCAACCTAATAGCAATGGCCTCCAACCTACTCTGAGCATCACATCAGTTGTGTTCTTATGAGCATCACATGGAAACACATTCTGTCTGAGCGTCGTTTGCTTATGCTTCGGCTCAGTGCGGGAAAAGACCGCGCCCTCGATGTCCCGCTCAGCCACGATGCGCTGCAAGACCTCCAAAAGGAACTGCAGCGACAGGATGTTACAGCTGGTTAGAGGGTTGTTACAGCTGGAACATGTTATGAATCATGAATGAATCTGAATTGTCTGATTGACACTTTGGCACAAAACATGCCCTTAAAAGTCACTATCCCGCGGATCTCATGGTAGAAAACGCATCCTTTCGCCACAAACAAAGCGACAAAACAAAGGCCTTGATCTTATCTGCATCCGAGAGCATCTCGAACTCTTTACCTCGCTCCAATTCATCTCCAATTCCGAGCCATTCAGGCACTGAATGCAATGCAAGCAAGCGGCCCGTGAAGGACTTTTGGACCTTATTTTTCAAACTCAAAGTGCAACAACAACGTTCTCTTCGTATTTTCCATGTTGTTTGTGTGGCACATGTTGATACCTCGAGTTTTTGTCCAAGGTCGCAACGTTACCGGTGCCAGTGAGGATACCGAGCTTTCGAGCAATCGCTTCCTCAGGTGCGCCGAAAAAAGAACCGAAAGTGTCAAACCTAGGAGCGATCGGACGCTACTAGGAGCAAAGGGCATCGCTACTAGGAGCAAGAAGCTACTAGGGGCTTCTGGCCGTACTACTAGGAGCAAGGACGCTACTAGTAGCAAGAAGCTACTAGGTGAAGGTCATTGTTATTAGGTTGGAGGCCATCGCTACTAGGAGCAAAGAAGCTACTAGTAAGAAAGGGCATCGCTACTAGGCTGTAGTAAGCTAAATGGAGCTGAGTAGTAAGGGATAGTAAGGGGCAGTCGGTAGTCTAATAGATTTTCCTGGAAGAATGCCTCGCATGATTGATTCTGTTTCTAAACAGTTGCCACTCATTATCATATAGTGTTCCCACTAGTGTTCCTGTCTATTTCCTTTACCACAGCGCAGTGCTAAGCTCTAAGTTCTTCCGGCTCCAAACCAGGGCTCTGCAGTGATCTTGTTGTCACCAGTGATCATCACGACCTTCATGACCGCAAGAACCATCCGGCTAAACTTGCAGCGACGAACGATTTGAAAAGGAGTAGAAAATAGAAAACTCCCTGCAGCTTGTTTCAGCAGCCATCAAAGTCGAGCTTCACTGATTCCAGCAACTCGGCACTCCCTGATCGCTTGCATACCTTAGCAGCTTTGCAGCCCAGCTCACGATGCTTGCGACGTCCAGAACGAACAAACAAGAACGAACGTATATATTTCCCCGAAACTATGACATGAGCACATGGTTTCCAAAACCCTGACACGAAGAACAACACTCAGCTTGCCTTATTTTTGCTTCATCATGCACCTCACGAAGCTGACTTGATGTGGTTTACAAAACCCTTCTTTTGTTTTAATTCAACCTACGAGCGATGGCCTCCAACCTACTAGCGACCAACAAAAAAAGGAAACAAGCAAAGACATCAGGAATCGTCGAGGAGCACTCCGGTCGAGGGGGATCAATCATGCCTACGAGCGCCACGAAGGTGAGATCAGTTTCCACCTGCACTCAGGGAATCGATGAAATCCGATGGACTCGGACGGAAGCAGGGACTGGCCTTACTACTAGGAGCAAGGACGCTACTAGGGGCTCCTGGCCGTACTACCAGGAGCAAGTAGCTACTAGTAACAAGAAGCTACTAGGGGGTCCTGGCACTCAGTAATGATTTTGGTTCTCACGCTTCTAGGTTGGCCATTGCTATTCTTATTTCTCTCGCGGGTGTATCAACTCAATCACCCTCTGAGCCTACGTATTCACGTGTTCCATTAGGTCTGGTTTTTGGACGTCTTTCTCGACTGCGTGAAGACAAGGTCTCTTTCCTTGAGTAAGGCACCTGTTACTAGTAGCGTGGCACTTGTTACTAGAAGCGATGCACTTGTTCCTAGTAGCGTCCTTGTTACTACTAGTAAGGCACCTGTTACTAAAACAACAAAGCTGTCTTCAACACTTGCTTTAACTGTGTTCTTGGTAGGGGTCAGGAATTTCTATCAACAGCGTACCTGTCACGTTTTTGCACTTTGCTCAGCTATCGGTCGGGCCCGCTAGCTTTGCAGGCACATCCCCTGAGAAGTTTGGCCATTTGACCGAAAGTGGATGCTGAGCCGCTCAAAGTCTTGGCTGAGCTTTCTAACAAGGCCCTATGAGGAAATTCGACTTTTTCACACGTGAACACTCCCACTGCCAGACTTCAAGCATTGAAAACTCTCCTTGCATCCTCAGAGGACGCCTATGGACAAACAACTTCAAGTTGGCATCATCGTGCCAAGTCTGGCAGCTTTTGTGCTTAGAGACCTTTTGCAAAGCCCATACGCTTCAAGCCCTCAAGGGCCAAGTCCAATGCAGGTGGGTTCCTCAGACGACGGACGTTCAGCCAGCACACGTGGGACGCATCGCGCGACGCATCAGCTACATCGTCTCCAACCTACTAGGAATGCCCTCCAACCTAGTAGCATTTCTTGCTTTTCTCCCTTTCCCTTGCTACGTGTGTTGGAACTTGCCTTAGATTTGCTCTTCCAAGCTTCTCGATGGTACCGGGGATGGGTGGCAATTTTCCATCAGCCATGCCACGGATATTCTTCCTCAAGACCTGGCTATGGAAACATCCTGGACATTTCCCCAAATTGCCAATGCTAGGCTATTCAGTAACACCTGTCAGAATTGTCAATGGTCTCAATGACAAACATGCTCACAAAAGGACGAGTATATAACGCCCCATGACGCATGCCGGGGGGGTCTCGCCGGAATGCGCACCGATTTCACCGTGCGCACCTTTCCACTTCGTGTCTTGGGGAGTTGCTCCACGACGGTGGCCCCGGCTAAAGAGGCAATGGCACCGATGTCATGGCGAACCTTCTCCTTCACTTCCTTCACCTGAGGCACATGAAACACTCTTGGAGGCTATTGCTAGTAGGTTGGAGGCCATTCGATGATGTGACATGATTCGATGCAATTAGATGTGTTCGCTCGAATGACCGACAAATCCTCTAAGGAGTCGCACGATGTCCTCCGGATCTTTTGACAGGCCATCATTTAGCACCAGTAATGCGAGTGGCACCTGGATACCCAACTCAGCCAATCGGAAAACACACAAGGCAAACATTGTGGTTCAACATGGTTCAACTAGAGGTTGGAGGCCATTGCTCTTAGGTTGGAGGCCATCGCTATTGGGGTAACTGCAGTTCAATAAGAGAAGCACCTGGCCCTTGATTGGGTCAGCTGCCCCGACCACAGCGCAGTCATTCACATCCTAAGCGTCCAATGTTGCCGCCTACTGACATCAAAACCACAGAATGCAAGACGTATGCACTGCTTGTCTGATCGAAATGCACAAACCAAAAGAACACAGTTTTGTAATATTGAAATCTTTTGAACGGCTTTGAAGCTGAGACGCTGGGTGAGCTTTGATTGCAGCCTCGATTTGGCCGCAGGAGAGCCTGTGTGCTGCGACATTGATTATGTCATCATTACCTTGGCAAATCCAAAGATCAGGCTGACTCACCACGAAGATCTACAAGCCATGATTGGCTCTTACCCATCACCAGTCAGGCTGCGTTCAAGTACAGTGACATAGCCGTCTTGGTCAATAACTCCAGCATCACCAGTGTAGAAGTAGCCCGGGTACGTTTCCATGTAGGACTTGACAAAGCCTGCACACATCAAAGGAATACAGAAGCAAACTCCCACGATCTGTCTTAATGCGTCAGGGCATGCCAGTGCAGTCAGGACGTAGAAAGAATGGTTCTCGGTCGCGCGCACTTTTTGGAACGGCTCGCAAGGTCCTTTAGATCTGGAGGGCCACTAAGATGGCGTTTCTGGAGGCCATCGCTTCTGGGTTAGAGGCCATCGCTTCTAGGTCGGAGGCCATTGCTATTAGGTTTCAACAGGCCCAATCAAGCTGTTCATGTCCCCCACATCCCCACCTGCATCGTTCTTCCAAAGAGTAGGGAAGGTCCCTGGAGGCAAGGGCAGCCTCACCAAGAACACATTCTTGTTCATTGGGCCATGGGCGTTCTACTCCAAGGTGTTACAGTATCTAGACAAGAAAATTGAAAGACAAGGGAAAGAAAAGAAAAGAGAGTGCACAAGATGTAAGGAACAGCTCCTAATAGCTACTTGCTCCTAGTAGTACGGCCAGGAGCCCTAGTAGCTTCTTGCTCCTCGTAGCGATGCCCTTTGCTCCGTTCGTAGCGTCCGATCGCTCCGTTCGTAGTCAGAAGTGGTCTGTGGTCCAAGACGCCTCACCAACAAACTGCCCGGAGTGTTGGCGGTCGTGGGTCGGCCGTGGTCATCCACCACCAAGACATCGAAACCATAAGCTGGAAGACTTGTACTGCCATCCTGACCATTACGCCGTCTTTGGAACAGCTCGTCCCCTTCAAATATCCGGTTGGAGGCCATCGCCAGTAGATTGGAGGCCATTTTCTATTGGGAACCTTTATTTGAAATCTTGAATCCTTTCCTTCCTGTTGTTCTTTCCCTCCTGTTTCGATTTTCCTCCTTTTGTTGTACAAACTTAGCTGGCATTGTCTCCGCTTACCCCTCTCAACGACTCAGCTCGTTTTATCAGTCCTTCCGGCCAATGGCTTCATCTTGCAAACCGCAAATGGGATGACCTACGAACACGGACGCTAGGAACAAAGGGCATCGCTACTAGGAGCAAGGACGCTACTAGGGGCTCCTGGCCTTACTACTAGGAGCAAGAAGCAACTAGTAACAAAGGGCATCGCTACCAGTAGCAAGGACCCTACTAGTAGCTCCTGGCATTACTACTAGTAACACATGGGATGACCAACGAAGAGCGATGCATCAAGTCGCAAAGCGTCTCCACGTCCCAATATTTTTCCGTTGAGTTTTGTTGGGGAAGAATTAAGCTACTAGGAACAAGTGCATCGCTACTAGTAACAAGTGCCTTGCTAGTAGTAACAATGTTTGCGATTAGAAACCAGAATTAGACTCTAAAGTCTAAGCAAAGAATATAAATTAGAATGAAATTCGCAAAAGCGTCTCCACGTCCCAATAGCTTCTTGTTACTACTAGTAAGGCCCCTGTTACTAGAAGCGATGCATTTGTTCCAAGTAGCTTATTGTTACTAATTTTGACGACAAACACCGGAAGAAATGTGCCTGATTCCCACAAGATTTGGGGTACTTCTTGCATGGCCTGTCTCTGTTTGCCACCAGTTGTCAAAGAAGCCCGTCTTTAAAGTGGTCGCAAAGAATTCACTCCTTAGCTTCGACTTTGGACTTTCAACAGGCTTCAGCATCTGCAGCCACGTTGATGGCTCAAGGCACGTTCCAGGATCACATCGTTCACCTGCCACAAAAAGGTTTCGCAAAGAAGAGAGATCATGTTGACCTGAGTCGCTGCGGAACTGGTCATTTGAGCTTTGGGAAAACAATGTACAAATATATCAGCATGGATCAAGTCGGACGTCTACTAATAGGAGCAACGACGCTACTAGGAGCAAAGGGCATCGCTACTGGGAGCAAGGACGCTACTAGGAGCAAAGGGCATCTCTCTCTCTCTCTCTCCTCATTCCTTTCGAACTTTCCTCTCTCCTTTCTCTTCTTGGTGCAAACTCGACGTGCGCTGTATTGTGCTGTGCTCAAACAATCTCTCCTCGTGGCCATCACTAATAGGTTGGAGGTCATTGCTAGTAGGTGGGAGGCCATTACTACTTGAAGCAAGAAGCTACTAGTAGCTCCTGGCAGTACTACTAGTAACAAAGGGCATCGCTACTAGGAGGCCATCGCTTCTAGGTTGGAGGCCATCGCTGCTGTGCTCAAAAGGTTTTCTCCCAGTGGCGGATGAGCTCGCCCTCCGGATCCACTCGCCGGATTGCCCGGAGCGCTGTGGGCGCCGCAAAAAGGCTCCGCACGGAGTACTCCTGGATGACCCGCCAAAAGGCTCCGGCGTCTGGTGTGCCTGAAGCAACACGCCAGCTTCTTGCTCCGTTCGTAGCGATGCCACTAGCCCCTAGTAGCTGCTTGTTCCTAGTAAGGCCAGGAGCCCCTAGTAGCGTCCTTGCTCCTAGTAGCGATGCCCTTTGTTATTAGTAGCTTCTTAATTGTTCCTAGTAGTAATGCCAGGAGCTACTAATTAGTAGCGTTTGGCTTCTAGAAGCAAGGTGTGCAAGAATCTGAACGTAACGCCAATTGTTGCGGGACATGACGCGACATGATGCAACCAATAGAAGTGACTGCTTCAGACCCAGTTGGTGAAAACTCCAGGTCACACGACCCACAGGCTTTCCCTCGTAGAGTACCTGGCGAGAAGCCAAGCGTCCCACTGAAAACTGCTGAAGCCTTGACAGGGCACAGTCCCACATCCTTGCAGCAATGGACCGTAGACAATGTAGGAATGCCCCACTACCTCAGCTCAATGATTTACTAATTTAACATGTCCTCGCGTTCAACATAAAGAACGCCGTTCTTTATATTTGTTTTTCCTTCCGGATCTTTGGGCTACTCGTTCTTTTCGCTTTAGACCTTTTAAACTTTAGCAACAAGTATTACTATATACATGTTCTTGAAATATAGATATATTTATATACAAGCTACTAGGAACAAGAAACTACAACTTTGCTTGCCCTTTATTTTTTTTCATTTTCTGTCATCCCGTGACTGCGTCCACCTAGAGACCCTGGCGACCCTGGTGCAAACCAAGTGGCCCAGCCAATGTCGGACGCTGCCCAGTAGACTTCTCCTGGGAAGGTCCTCACGAAAAAGCACAAAAACAAAGATTAAGACGCAGTGGAGTTTCTTTGTTTTATTTGATGTTCTGTTCTTTTTTCTATTCTATTCCTGTGGAGGTCCTCATGAAATTCGTCATGGAGCTTTTCAAAGCCACCTTAAGGTGTAATGATGTGTCATTTGGCATATTCATTGTACTAGGAGCAAGTGCATCGCTACTAGTAACAAGTGCATCGCTACTAGGAGCAAGGACGCTACTAGGAGCTCCTAGCCTTACTATTCATTGTGCCTTCCACGTACTTCCACTACCTCTCGGCCACCGTACAGCATAGCCACCGGTATCTCGCACCACACCTTTTGGAGTCCCAGTCGAACCAGAAGTGTAGAGCCTCATACCGTCCAAACAAGAAACCTGTAGACAACACATTATACACTTGAAGTAGTAGCCTTTTTGGTCTTAGGTTGGAGAGCATCGCAGTTGGGTTGGAGGCCATCGCTATTAGGTTGGACGCCATCAATTCTAGGTTGGAGGCCAAAGGCCATTGCAATTGGGTTGCAGGACATTGCTTCCAGGTTGGAGGCCATTTCTATTAGTAGCCTTCTGGTTGCAGGACATTGCAACCATAGTAGCATCAACAGGCATCAAAGGATGCTTGGCACCGCGATTCCTCGATTCAACTCGTTTCTCGGGCCAGGAAGCACGTACAAGGGATCGGTGGCTTCGACTGGGACCTTGACACATCGCAAAAGGTCACAAGCCCCTAGTAGTAACAGGTGCATCGCTAGTAGTAACAAGTGCCTTCCTAGTAGTAACAATGTTTGCTATTAGAATTAAATTAGAATTAGCAAGAATGCTACTAGTAGCGATGCCAGGAGCCCCTAGTAGCGTCAAATGACATCTCTTGAATTCTTTTGCTATTCCTGTGCAGGAAATTTATAGGTTTAAATACTAATGTTAACTTTAAACTAACGATAGAGGCTTTTGAACGTGTCCGCGTCTTCTTAACGAGAACAGGAGCTGCGAGGTCCAGGTCTGGAATGCTTTTCTTGTTCAAAGACCATTCCAGACGACCAGCATTCCAGACCGAAAAGGCAATTCTTCCAGACTATTGAAGGACGCTACCAGGAGCAAAGGGCATCGCTACTAGGAACAAGAAGCTACTAGGGGCTCCTGGCATCGCTACTAGGAGCAAGGACGCTACTAGGAGATCATTCTTCCATTTCAATTCTTGAAGTTTCTTTTGCAAGACGGATTCGTGCCGAATCCGATGCGGACGAAATCGTCGTTGCGACGGCTACCCTGTCTGCCCGAGCGGCGCAGTCTGCCGGAGCGGCTTTTGGAACTTCTTCATCCCAGTCCTGCAAAAAAAGGTCTAGCAAAAGCAAGCAAAAACTGGAAGGAAACACATCAAGAAACAGCACTTTACCTTTAAGGAAACTTATGCAAGCAAAGCATTCTGGTGGCCACTGGCAATGCAAACTTCTTCAACGTGATCTCAACCTGAAGCCTTGGGAAATGAGACAATGCTTAAGCTCGCTCCAGGTCATCTGTGAGTGTGGCTGCTAGCTCAGGCCGCTGTTTGCAAAGGCTGACCTGAAGCACCAGCCAGGAGGCACAGCGCACGTATTCTATGCAAACCAGAAAATCCATGCTACTATGCGTGCGTGTCTTAGATGTCACTGACCCATCCTTACTGCAACCAACGCTTCTTATCAGCAAAAACATGCTGCACATGCGTTCCTTGTCATCTCGCAAGAGATGGAAGACACGTTTGTGGGCCAAGCGACAGCTGGCTTCCAGGAGAGGATTTCAAAGGCTTCTTTGAGCATGGGCTGATACGCAATGGGACCTGCAGCGACAATGGCGAATGCAACAAAATCCGTAGCTTGATCCTCCGCCTACTTTGAGAGGTGAAAGTCTCTCAAAGTAAACACATGAGCTTTGGGAGTCTTCACTATCAGGTTCGAGGCCATTGCCATGGAGGCCATTGGTATGACCATATGCAGCATTAATAACTCAAGCGAAGTCTTCACTTGGCGCCTTTTGGCTCAAGACCACAGGAGGCCCAAATGACCGCCTTGGGCTCCGCATCGCGAATCCTGGTCGCCAGCTCTGGCCTCAAAGGATGTTGGAATGGGCATTGCAAAAGTGGCAGTTGCGTGTGTGACTGAATGCCAGGCTGCGAAGTGTGAGGTGTTTTAGTGGAACTCTTCATTCAACTTTCTTTCTGAAGACTGTTCACCCGACTCCGATGATTCACCATCTGGAGGTACGCCAAGTCAAATTTGAAGCCAAAATGCCCAGCGAAACCGCCAAATACAACGGAGTGTACAGCGCCCAAGCGTGCACATGCCAGCATGGCAAACACCGCCTGGCATGACAAATTGTGGTCCAAACCCCGTGAGTTTGACACATCAAATGTTGGCAGGTCGGAAGCCTCAGGCATCATCGGCATGTAGATAATCACCTGAGCTTGAAAAAGCGTTCTAGTAGCTTTTTGTTGCTAGCAGTAATGCCAGGAGCTACCAGTAGCTTCTTGTTCATAGTAGTAAGGCACCTTGCTACTAGTAGCTTCTTTTCCATTAAAAAACCACCGAGCATTCAGCACACAAAGTCTTCGACATCCCAAGGTTCTGCAAGCGAGGAACACGATCTCCTCTTCCGATGCCCTTTTGGGCCAAGCATCCGGCGACCTTTGCCACCTGAAAGTGAAGCTGAAAACTCAACGAAAGTAGAAAGCCAAACTGGATGGAGGTCGTCGCAAAAATTAGGCTTGGAGGCCATCGCCATTAGGTTGGAGCCATGGCAATTAGGTTTGGAGGTCTCTCTCTCTCTCTGTCTTGCTTGGCCTCGTTCTTGAGCTGCTCGAATGTGAAGCGCTTCTTGACCTCAGGCACCAGGCACACGACCGGCACACGAGATTACAATTGAATTCTCCTGTTTTTCCAAGCACGGAACGCCGGCCAAAGGAGAATCATAGATCAGTGCTGTATTTCCTCCTGAACCTGAGCCAATTGATCCCACCCACTGAATAGGTTTCTCATGGTTACTTGAGTCTTCTCCCGCAGTGGGGCCTGCCATTCTTCAAAACCACCCCCTTGCCTTTCAGTCTATTGTAGAAAACCTGAGATTCTATCTTATCACGTCTGCAGCTAGCCTGTTCATCTTATGTGGGCTGATGTACACTCTTGCCAAGTATGCCCAAGGATTGCAACAGCAACCAGCCATTGAGCCGCAGCACCAGAATCAACATGCCGGTCGACCGCATTGTAGCACATGTTGAGCTGCCCACCTAGAAACATCAATGTGTCCCAACACCAGCACCAGGCAACCAACCAGAACAAGAATCCCGGATGTCTTGAATTTCTATATTCGCAAGCCTGGAAACCACCGATAGAATGGTGCTTTGGTCTTCTCCAGGACAGTGTGCCATTTGCGAACCCAAGAAATCTCGGCAGCCGCCTCGCTCCAGAAGCCTCAAATGCGCATGGCTCATCCTGCTGTGGCATCTGATTCTTGCAAGTAGTGCACAGAGGTAGGCTCAGGTAGGATAATAGTTTTTACCTCCAACATATTTCCAATGGATGTTGTTCCAGCAACTTGCATTGTCAACATGCAAAACCGTTAGCAAACGGATAGGGTGGAGGTCATCCCTACTAGGTTGGAGGACATTGCTACTAGGAGCAAGTAGCTACTAAGAGCAAAGGGCATCGCTACTAGAAGCATGGACGCTACTAGGGGCTCCTGGCCTTGCTACTAGGAGCAAATAGCTACTAGTAACAAGGGCATCGCTAGTAGTAACAGGTGCCTTACTAGTAGTAACAAGAAGATA